CTGTGAAACAGTTTGAGGAGCTTTTGTGTTAGATTTTTCAAAGATTTGATAGAATTCACCATTTGGTGCTGGCCCTTTCTTTGTTGGGAGAGTTTTTAATTATTGCTTCCATCACGTGTCCTTTATTTTAGATTTATTAAAAGGAAGAAAATTCAGCAAGTGCCTGATTTATCGAAACAAAACCCAGTAGTTTCATAATAGCAAAGACAACATACTTGAGATGTTCATTAGAACAGTCTGTCTGGTTGGTAGAATGTAGACGGCCAGCTTGCTTTTTGGGAGGAGTTATGCGGGGAATGGCGATGCTGGTGACTGAGCCGAGGGCTTCTTGCATGGCAAATACGCACTCTACCACTTAACGAGGTACAGCTCCAGGCCTCAGGTCATTTGATTTGATGATTACACTTTACCTTCGTAATGAAAAGAATTTGGAGGCACATACTTGCAGTATCCCTGTTTACTGAGATACGTGTTTTGGCCTTGGTGTTCGACTAAGTTCGGTATTTAGTTTTGGATGGTTGAGTGATCCTACTTCAGCATCGTTAGTGGTATCCTAGGAAACTGTGCGTGCAATTGTCATGTAATCACTGAAGCTTCCCACGATGTCTTCTCAATTATCCCAGCCTCATTGGCAAACGATGATGTCCATTCGGTACTTTAGTACATGTGATTAATATTTGGTGAGTATTTACTTCTCATTAGATTCCACTACATAGAAACAATTTTTTGTTGCAAAATATTGAAATGATGAATGTAAAATAATTTTATGTAAAAATAAGAGCTTTCAAAGAATTAGAATTGATAGGTAATATCAAAATATTCAGAAAATGCATTATATGGTTCATTTTATAACGGGAACAAAGTTTTTTTCATGGATATGTGAAAGTAATCGCACAAAGGTTGGTATCTAGAAATGCTGGGCTGCCCCAAGAAAATAAAGAAAATATATTTAGGCTTCTCAGTAACAAGGGTTTGAGGAAATTGTTAGTAAAAGTTGTAATAATGTTAAGGAAGCTGCTGGAAAACAGACCAAACCTTTGGTTTGGGCCTAAGCTATCTACAAGCAATATGTGAAGCCCGCCCCCTGGTGGTGTTTAACTGCATAGGATTAATGAATCAAATTTTTGTTTGCTTTTTTAAGATAGATGCTCCTTTCCCCAGCTTTATTGTTAGTGTCGGCTGTCGTCTTTGTCGTTCTCATAGTCGTCTTCTCCTTCTCCTCCTCCTTCTTTCACTTTTTTGTTGATTTTTTTTTCCATATGCTGTATTCTGGTTATAGCTTCCCTTCCCTTATCTCCTCCCAGATCTTCCCCACCCAACCTTAAACTGTGGCTTCCAGTCCACATGGAGTCACACGACTGACGTTGTGTGGGCATCACTAATTTGGCAATAGTGAAAGGCTTCTGAATGTGCAATCACCGAAAATCCCAGCTCAGACAGGAAAAGCATCCGAGGTGTCTCTGCCTGGGATGGCCTGTGAAGACTTCACCACGGCCTTGCTCTGAAGACAGCGCAGCAGAGTGTAATGCTCACATTGATTTCCTCATTCAGCTCTGTGCTGTTTCATCTGGACTCTCTGAAGGTTCTAGTTTTCTTGTGGTTTTGTTCCATTGGGCTCACACAGAACACAAGGAATTACTCACTTTTCATACAAGATTTGCTCTATGTAGACGTGTGTGTGTGTGTGTTTAGAGAGTTTCAGGAGCTGCATATTCTCAAGTATTTGTAGGAAATGCTTTGCAGATATCTTTAAGTTTACTTGGTCTATTATGGCATTTAATTCAGCGAATCCCCCATTTTGTGTGTCCTCAGAATAACAAAAGGATCCTGTATTTCATCCAGTATACTAGTATATATGCCTTTTGACTGCAGAATTGAGACCACTGAAGAGTTGTTGGAAAATGTGTATCATTGCCTCTGATTTTGGTGATGTTGTAGTATTTGGTGTTTCCTATTCCTCCCTTCTTTAACTATTATTGAAGAGTGGTTTGTTCATCCCCATTGGTATGTTTGTCTTCCTTTTCAGTCTGAAGATTTAGTCTGATGTACCTGGTTGGAGGCTGAGAGGTCCCAGTGGTGGCTTCTTCAGTGGACCAGCCTTGAGCTGACAAAGGGTGAGGGTGGTTTTGGGAACGAGAGCTCGTGGAATAGTGCACTCCCTTCTAACCATCTGAAGGGAGAAATGGAGACTGTGTGCTCAGGAAGGTCGAGCCCCATCACTGCCCAGGCCAGCATAGCAGGAAGACTCGGCCCTGCCTGCTGCTTCAATGAGGACAGCATTCCAGAGAGCCCTGTCAATCAGTCTAGTGAGCCCAGGATCCCACCGATGCTCCACATCCCTCATCTCCTGGAGCGTTAGAAATAACCTGGTACCCCTGGATAGTGCAAGTTTCTCTGGAAGACCAAGGGTGAGCAAAAAATATCAAATAATTCAAACATTCAATGATCTAACAGCAAGTGAACAAATCCCAAAACAAAAGCCCAAGTTACAAGAAAAACCAGCAAATGAATTTTAAATTTAAAAAAAAGAAAATAAATTCTTGGAAGAGTACTGAGTATCCAGACAGCTGGATGAAATAAGGGTGTTGGCCCTAATTGGACTTCAGGCCACTCTTATAAGAAGGATTTTGTACCTGGTAGTGTAAACTTAGTCAACCAACTGTGATTGGTGATATTATGGACCCAAGAAGAAAACTTACTGCTGCCAATTTCCTAAACGAATAGAATTTTCAACTACATTCAAAATAACTATAGTTATTTCTACAGACAAATGTAGCTCTTGATCCCCATCAAAGAAGCTTCTGTTTCAGTAGAGCGCAACTATGACAGATATTTATAGCTTGTCAAAGTGCAGAGAACTGGCTGTGGGATGCCCACCTCCAACTAAGACATCGAAACTCACACCTAAGCTTTAGGAAATTAGTCAGAAGAAGGGCTGGAAAGATTCTATGAATCAGAAGGCCTGCATGTGTTCTAGGAGCTAATGTCTCCCATTATGACAGAGAGCTGTAGTCACAAAATCTTAATAATATCATCACCTAAACAAGACCTCCACAATTAGTTAACATCCCATAGTTGTGGGGGAAATCTCACAAAAGATTTATATCATCACCTTTAGATGAAGAGTACTATGCAATTAATAGTTACTAAGAGATGGAGAATCAGTGTTCTCTAGAGACAGGCACCCTGATAGGTTATCCAACCCCATGTGGTCACCCCTAAACACATGTATGTATGAGCAACACCAAATGCTCTCACCAATTGTATTTACATATATATATATCATTATACATATATAATATACATAATCAACAATAGTAATTGAAAATAAAAGGCACTTGGGAGACATGGGAGGAATTGGAAGGGGAATGTGGAAATAGAAATTATGTTAATGTTGTACTTATGTTTGGAATTATCAAAAATAAATATTTTAAAAACTCAAAAAAAAAAAACAAAGAAATAAGGGTGTTGGCGTTTTCTGAATGTGTGCCAACACTTGATTCTATTGTTACTTTTAAGGTTTTCTGCCATGCTGGGAAGTGTGCTGACACCTCAGTTTTAATGTTACTTGAATTTACCTGGTGGCTAATGTTGTGGAATATATATTTTTTTGAGTTTTTTTTCAATCACATATCTTTCTCAGTGTTTTTAGCTGCTTTTAACTGAATTGCTTTTATAGTCCCTATTTGGAAAGCTTCCTGTCTATTTTAGGGGAGGGTTCTTTGTCAGATGGGCCCTTTAAGAAGGTAGCATTGCCAGGCAGTGGTGGCGCACACCTTTAATCCCAGCACTTGGGAGGCAGAGGCAGGCGGATCTCTGTGAGTTCGAGGCCAGCCTGGTCTACAAGAACTAGTTCCAGGACAGGCTCCAAAGCTACAGAGAAACCTTGTCTCGGAAAAACAAAAAGCAGCATCACTGTTATCTGTAATTAGCATAGGAGCCGGGTCAGTGAAGCTCTTTCTCTACCCTGACACTTGCTGATACATTCTTGGAAGTGGCCAATGATTCACGTATGTATGTCCCGTTTGCAGTGGGAGCGTGAGCTTGTCCCTCCAGGTAGCACAGATGACAGCACAGGACTAAGGACATGGAAATAGAATGGTTCTAGCTCTGTGGCTCTCAACCTTGTTGATCCCCCAGTAGAAACAGAGGCTCAGATAAGCATCACTAGTCATGTACTGGAACGAAACACTTCCTGTTTTCCGGTGCCAACGACGGAATCCAGGGGCAGCCAGGATCATTAAGTGTTAGGCAATTAATCTGCCCTTAAGATGCACTCTGAGCTCCCTAGTGGGCTTCTCTTCTATTCTTATGTTCAAACCTCCATAATTTTCAATTAAGCAGTAAGTGGAGGAAAAGTAATTTAAAATATAGCTTCCATTTATTTTTGAGATAAGGTCTTTCTGTGTAGCTCAGGCTGGTCTCATTGTGCTAGCCCATCTCAGTCTCTCCAGTGCCAGGGTTACAGGTGTTTGCCACCATTCCCAGATGAATACTTAATTTCTAATTAATGCTGGCTGCTGACTGTATTTGTTGGTTTTTTTTTTTTGCTTGGTTTTGTTTTTGTTATTCCAAGACAGGGTTTCTCTGTGTAAGAGTTCTGGCTGTCCTGGAACTCACTCTGTAGACCAGTAGACCAGGTTAACCTCCAACTCAGAGATCTGCCTGCCTCTGTCTCTTGAGTGTGGGATTAAAGGTGTGTGCCCCCATTGCCCAGCCTGTGTGTTTGTTTATGATCTGAATATGGAGTAGATTCAGGTGGGCAAAGTGTATTAATAGCACATTATTTAATGTCATGTGAGATGAAAAACTGTATTTAATGGGGTTTTCTTGTAAAATGAAGTTCTTATTTTGACAAAATGTTTCAAGAACTCTGTACAAAACTGGTGTCTAGAGACGTACAACAGATGCGTGCGTGTTGACTTACAAGCAACCTGCAGTAACAAACTACACATGCCAGCAGTTCATGCGGTGGGAAATCTCTTCGGTTTAATGGCAGATGGCTTTATTTACTGATGGGTGTAACTGATGGGTGCCCATTGTGATGTCCGCGTATGGATGGAACTTTATGTGCCTTTATCCCATCTTTTGCATTGAGGAAGAAGCTCACTAAGTTGGAGGGCATAGATTTTTCAATTATCGATGGAAGCAGTTTTCCTCTCATTTCTGTCTGGACAAAAATCACTAGCTTTGAATACGCTGGGTTTCTGTAAACAAACAGAGTTACAAAAGATAAAGCATTCATACTTGATCTTAGGAAGTGACAAGTTTAGAGAGAGCAGAAGTCTCAAGTTTATTCTCTTTGATTCTTTTTATCGTGCATATGACAAGACAGTTAACCCAAAGGGGGAAGGGACAGGGACCTGAGGTCACATCCTTATAAAATAAAAGTTCTATTGAAATATTAAGTAGTCAGAATGTATATTAAAACCTTAGCTGTAGTTACACTTTCTTTTGCTATTTATTCAATCCTCAAAATGCACGCCTTTTCTTTTCTCTGAACATCTGTTCTACTCCTGTTTATGTAGCATTTTTAAACTGTATGTAGCACTTTTATACATGTAAATTGTTTACTTAATAAGAAATACAATATCTGCCTCTATTAAAAATAAAAAACAGTGAAATGAAAATTATATACATTCGTTCCTGCATATATGTGTAGTTTTTCACTGAGATATATTTATATTTTCCCTTGTATTAAACATAGATTATTTTCTCATATAATATAATCTGAATACAGTTTCCCCTCCCTCTCCTCCTCCCAGTCATCCCTACTTTCCCTCCCCTCCAGATCTACTCCCTTTCTGTCTCTCATTAGGAAAGAACAGGTTTCTAGAAGATAACAACAGAACATAACAAAATAAAATATAACAAGATAAAATGAAAACCATCATATACAAGTTGGCCAAGCCAACATCATGTTTATAGTTATATAATTACTTTTATTAATTTCCCTGTTCTCTGGGACAGTTTGACCTTGCATCTCAGCCTGGCCTTGAACTCACCATGGCAATTCTCTCGCTTTCACTGCCCCAGTTCTAGGGCTACAGGCTTAAATGCCCACGCCCAGCTACAAACATGCAGTTTAATCCTTATATACTATGGTCACAGTAAACACATTTGAAAACTCTTAATTCATACTGTTTTATAAAAAAAAATAAGGTGATTTGAAAAATTCCAAGCTATACAACTATTCCATTAGCAAATTACCCTGTGAGAGGAAATATTCTAGATGCAAATTCAAGGGGAAAAGTGGTGCTCAAAAGGCGTTAACCAGCACAACAGGGAAGGCTTTATGATAAGAGCAGCGCGATGGTGGACTCAAGTGGTTAAGGAATATAGGTTCTATCGGATTAATTTATACAAGCTACAGATCTATGTAAATATAGCAATATTTAGGATATTTTAGAATGTTCACCTTTTATTTATGTAAAATTCTATGTCAACTTAAAAATATGGAGGCAGAATTTCACAGTACTATTTTAAGACCGCAGTCAGCGATCATAGGAGTTATCACCACATCTACATCCACATCTCTTTACGAAGAGTAGATGATTTCTGTTAGCCCGGAGCTCGACTGGAGTTTACCATGGGATCACACACATCTGCTGTTTGTGAGAGTGATTCAGAATGGACAGTGTTGGACAAGTGTTCTGCACAGCTTGATTCCAAATGCCCTATTTACAACATCAGACTGCATAGGAAGAAGAGACGAAGAACCACAGTTTCTTTCTCCGTTCTGTGAGAAGGCGACTAAGATTATCCCATGGGATGGGGGCCAAGTCTGACCCTACACGTTAGCTAGACTACCAGAGATCCTGCCAAATGTCAGTTCTTCTCACTGGGAGCAGCAGTTTATTAATTCTGTTCTGCTAGGAGCATAAGATATTGGTCACAAATTTAAAACTGACCAAGAAGTGGAAGGCCCCATGTTATTGTTCCTGTTCTGACTATGTGCGGTATTAACTCTGTCCACTTACATTTAAAATAGATTTTCAGTAGAAAAAGCATTGAGGAATACAGTACTAAAACTAAAAACACATTGCCTCTTATTATGAATTTATATTTTGTCATCAAATTTTTGTGTTCACTTTATATGTATATGTCAATATTGTGATTTATTAATAACAGAATAATTTAAAAATAATGGATTCGTGAGGTGGATTTGTACGCATGTATATACTCCAATTTAATGCAATGTGTGCTTTTATTAAATCTATTTTAGATTACCATTTTGTCCTTTGGTTGACCACCTGTCATCAGTACCTCATTCCTGATTTTGGCAGTTTTTATATGAATATTCCTGCTGGGTATTTCATTCTGTAGAAATATTTAAGCAGGTGATTCGTGTAAATAATTTACTCAAGGTAAAATATTTATGACTCATAAATGTATATTGTAATTTCATGGAATTTTATTTTTTAATTTAAATTTTAATGTTGTTTTAGAATTGTTCATGAAAATACAGTAGTACTGTAGCTACATCATTTCTACCTCTCCCTATCCAGCTCTTCCAATATCCTTCTCCCCACCCCTATCAAATTTGTGACCTCTTCCTCAATTATTGTTTTATCCTCACACACACACACACACACACACACGCACACACAGACTAAGTCTTCCTCAATTATTGTTTTATACACACACACACATACACATATGCACACACACAGACTAAGTCTTCCTCAATTATTGTTTTATACACACACACACACACACATACACATATGCACACACACAGACTAAGTCTTCCTCAATTATTGTTTTATACACACACACGCACACGCACACACACAGTGTTGTAATAATAGGAGTGGAGGGGCTGTGTCCCCAGCACTCCGGCCGCCTGGCTAGCTCATGCCCTGAAATAACAACACACAAATTGTATTCATTTAAACACTGCTTGGCCCATTTCTATCTAGCCTCTTCTAGGCTAATTCTCATATATTAATTTAGCCCATTTCTAATCATCTATGTAGCACCGGTCTTACCGGGAAGATTCTAGCCTATGTCCATCCTGGGTCGGAGCTTCATCGCGTGCATCTTCCCGCGAGCGGGGAGCATGGTGTCTCTGCTCCAGAGAGCAGCTGTCGAGTCTGAGCTCACTTCCTCTTCCTCCCAGCATTCTGTTCTGTTTACTCCACCCACCTATGTTTTAACCTATGAGGGCCAGCCAAGCAGTTTGTTTATTACTTAACCAATGAAATCAACAGATTGATATATGACACTCCCACATCAACACAGACTAAGTCTTCCTCAATTATTGTTTTATACACACACACAGACTAAGTCTTCCTCAATTATTGTTTTATACACACACACACAGACTAAGTCTTCCTCGATTATTGTTTTATATACACACACAGACTAAGTCTTCCTCGATTATTATTTTATATACACACACAGACTGTCTTCCTCAATTATTGTTTTATACATACACACACACACACACACACACACACACCCAACTAAGTCCACTTAGTGCTGCTCATATATTCATATCTTTAAAAGATTCCTTAGTTGATGCTGAAGAAATATAAACATCATGGAAGGTTAATCTGTGGGAAAATATTTGTGTATTTTGTTATGCCCAGAGACTGAAAATACATTTTATAGTAAATTACCTGTTCTTATGTTTAAGACAAAAATATAAAAAGTTATTTTTTAAAGATTTATTCATTTATTATGTACACAACATTCTGCCTCGATGTACGCCCGCACACCAGAGGAGGGTACCAGATCTCAGTACAGATGGTTGTGAGCCACCATGTGGTTGCTGGGAATTGAACTCAGGACCTCTGGAAGAGCAGTCAGTGCTCTTATCCTCTGAGCCATCTCTCCAGCCCTAAAAAGTTATTTTTAAAGTTGCTTTTAGGGGCAGTTTTTTTTCCCTCCCAACACCGTATGTTGGTACAAATTTCTATTGATGAGCTAGGAATCCTGAAGTAAATCCTAAGATGAAAAGAAAAGGCCTGCTAAAGTAAACACATATAAATAACACTTACTCTTTGAGAGGTGAACACACATAGCCAGAAGGATGATTATAACCACGGATATAATGCGGAGATGGAGGATATCCTGGGAAGTCCACACTGTTAGCTGTGATTAAAGAAACTGAAATGAGACCCAATTCACAGAGACAAAGTGTAATATTAAAAGTGTAATTTTAAAGTCTATGATAGCATTTGACTTCATTGCTAACACTAGTTTTATAGTGTCCATGTATTAGTAGTGCTGGTATCCCTAAAGATTCTGGTATGTTTTATACAAGAAAGCTCTTTAAAAGCATCATTTAGTTCCTTTCTGAGGTTTGAAACAAAAGAACAAAGCATAAAAGAGATGGTTTTATTGGGGCTCATTGATTTTTGTTAATACTTTTATTTTCCATGAAACATCTGAAGTACTCAGACACTTCAAATGCTTTCTTCTGTTAATCCCATGTACTAATTTCAAGTAATGAAAACTTAGTAGAATTTGCCTTAGTAATTAATTATACAGAGAATATGCGTGTTGTAGTGAAAAGAGGGAAGTGATTCAAAATAAATTTACGGTGATTACTTATTTTTAAATAGTTTAAAAACATATAACTTTTGCTACGGCCAGAGCACAGGAATTGTCCTGATTTGTTTTCACAAGTCTGCGCACAATGCAAAGCGCAGCTCAGGGCAGAGGAGTGGGTGCGTGGCCAATGAATTCCCATGTATGGATCTCTCTCTGAACAGAGCCCATTGTACTGGGATGACGGAATGCCAGAGGGACACAAAATATTTTCCACTTAAAACATGGAGCTATGCTTGTCGTTCTTCTCTTTTGTGAAATCTGCTATCGTTTTCCAAACAGTATGAGTCTTTGGTGAGGCAGGTACTGAGGTGAGCATTTATTTTGAAGACCTGAAAGACTAGAGCTGTAAGTTCAGGAGCTTATTATCCAGGTAAATCAATATTTTTTATGCTCAATATCTGGAAACTTGAGTTGTAACCTTAGTGAGACTCTGCAGACAAAATATGTAGCCCCAAGCAAGGGACAGAGAAAAGCCTTAAAGGACTACGAAGAAAGCTGGCCAGACACTGAACATGTATTCAGCGGAAATGTCTTGCGAAACGTGCGCTTTGCTGCGACACAAACTGAATGGATATTCCTAGTCACTAGTTTACACTCATACACTGCTTTGTCTATTATTTTTCAAAACAGGGTCTATGTGTAGTCTCTATATGGCTTCATATTCACTTTACACACAAGGGTAGCCTCAAATTCATACAGCTTCACCTGCCTCTGCCTCCTAAGTGCGGAGGTTAAAAGCATGCTCCACCATGCGTTTTTAAAATTATCTTCTTACTCTGCTATGCTGGGATGGAGCCTGGGGCCTCATGTGGCTATGACAGCACCATGACACTGAGCTAAAACTGTAGCTGTTATTTTACCTGCCCTCTAACTATTAATAGAGGCTAGAAACGACTTATTTTCAAGACATGGAAAATTACAGACCTAAGTCTAGAAAAGGCAAATTTTCATATAATAGGTAGGGAAAACATTTTATCTGCTAAACTTTGAAACCAATGATTAAACTATGTATACTTTGAGGACCTCCATCTTTAATGATCTGCTATAAGATCTGAAAAGCAGGCTTTGAGTCAGAGGGATGAGAAGTTTTGTTTGTGAAACAGACTACTGGAGTCATCCCATTTTAAGTGCTGGGAAGTGATAGCACAGATTCACTGTCTGTCTATTACTAAGGATCTTACAGGAGAGGAAACGTCCTTACAGAAATTACAGGATTAAATCAAATTCAAGAGGAAAACTGGGATCTTTGCTGCTACTCCGCCAAAGTTTGTTCTCTCTCTCTCTCTTCTCTCCCCTCTCTCTCCCTCCTCTCTCTCTCCTCTCTTTCTCTTCTCTCTCTTCTCTCTCCCTCCTCTCTCTCTCTCCCTACCATCCCCCCCTCTAAGTCAGGGTTTCTCTGTGTAGCTTTGGAACCTGTCCTGGAACTCACTCAGTAGAACAGGCTGGCTGTGAACTCACGGAGATCTGCCTGCCTTGGTCTCCTGAGTGCTGGGTTTAAAGGCATGTTCCACCACTGTCTGGCTAAGTAACTTTCATCATATATGATCTTAAGCTTGCAGAGTCCACACCCTTGTGTTGTGAAAAGGTTTTGTGCCAGTAACACAAGTTAGCAAATAATGATACATTTATATTTCATAGTCACATTATTGCAGAGCAGACTAGGGTTATGTTAAAACTTGCATCCCCTAGAAGAGACATAGGCACATTTAAGGAAAGACCCACCCAAAAATATTCAGTATTATCCTATTTTATACTCAGTAGTGTAACAATTATTATATATGCCCATTTTAAACAAGTATAAAATTATATATAAAAAAGCTAATTTTGTTTCATAGGATTAAAAATGCATACATTGAAATTTTAGCTACAGTCTCTGTCTGTATTGATTCCTCAGTTCACACTGCAAAAGCCCAGGAACAACTTATCTAAGCAGCACCTCTTGGGTTAGGTAAAATAGCTCACCTGTGTACACAACACAAGCGTTTTGGTTGCACCAAATAAATAAACAAACATAAAAAGATTGGAACTACAGTTTCTTTTAAACCATTAGTACCAACAAAGGCAAAACATTTTTAATGACACACAGTAATTCTAAAACATGGGCAAATGTTTCAACTTACTACTGATAATGTCGATATTCCCTTCATAGTGCTTGATGCAGACTACGTCGACAAAGTCTCTAGGGGAAATTGAGCCCATGGCAAAACTTTGTGTCATGGCATGGCATATAAATGTGTCCTGCAACAAATCAAACAATAAAGACGGCAAAAGTTGCTTAATGTTAGTGTAACGTTAGTGGTTTGTTGTTCCCCAAGAACTTCATCATGTATGTTTAGTCTGCCTTTAGGAAAAAAAAGGTTTAAGATGAAGTGTTAAGGCGGTCTCACCATATCAGCCTGCAATTTTACTGTTAGAGAACACTGAGTCAAGGGCTGGAGAGATGGCTCAGCCGTTAAAGGCTAGGCTCACAACCAAAAATATAAGAGAACACTGAGTCACAATTACATGTGCACAACATTCCACAAGGAATCCAAAGAACATTTGTTCTATTTGTAGATGAGAAGACATGGCCCAAAGATGAAATACTATGTATGGCTAGAAAGCTGTTCAGAATTAGAGCCAAGGTTTTTTGTTCTGATCTTTCTTTTCTTTGCTTTTCTTTCTTTCTTTCTTCCTTCCTTCCTTTCTTTCTTTCTTTCTTTCTCTTTCCTCCCTCCCTCCCTCCCTCCCTCCCTCTCTTCCTCGATCCCTCTCCTCTCCCTCCTTCCTTCCTTTTTCTTTTCCATCCCCCCCCCTTTTTTTTATTGAGACAGGGTTTCACTGTGGAGCTCTGGCTGTCCTGGAACTCACTAAGTAGACCAGTGGCCTCAAACTCACAGAGATTCACCTGCCTCTGCCTCCCAAGTGCTGGGATTAAAGGCATGCACCACTACTACCCGACTGGTCTTCTGATTTCTGTACAGCACTATTTTGTCCCTCTGTGGGGTTGGTAAATATTCTGAAACATACATTGATTTGGCACATTATGGAATAAGACCTAAAATTTATGATCAGTGTTTGAAACCACTGGTGAAACTGGATTTAGGATGGCTTAGCTGCAAATCCCTCCAACTCTTGGCCTGCATATGAGACCCCCCAAAGTCCTACAGCCAGCTCACTGAAAGGACCCACAGTCACTACTTATCCCCTCCAGTGATTTCAGCTCCCTGTTGGCCTGGATTGCTCATGCCAGGAAGGGAGTTCATGAGAGAGCAATGTAAAGATACACCAAAATCCAACTTGGCGAACCAATGAATTTTATTAGGGGTGCTTACAGGAATATGACTGGGAGTTACTTACTCAAAGACAGCTGCACTACAAAGCCCACCCTAGCATGGGGAACAGTGTGGCACAATTAATAAAAACCCAGAGACAGATATTGGGGTTCAACGTGAAGGTCAGAAAAGCAAAACAGCCAGCCACTGTCTCTTACCTCAGTCTGAAATGGTGATCCTGCCTGCTGGAAACATTAGAATGAGACTGCATCTGAGAGCTGTTTCCTCCCATCTTATCCTCTCTAGTGGTGGGATGAACGGCATGTACCACTACCACCCGGTTTCTATGGCAAACTAGTGTGGCTACTGGGATTAAAGGTGTGTGTCACCACTGCCTGGTCTGTAAGGCTGACCAGTGCGGCTGTTTTTCTCTGATCTTCAGGCAAGCTTTATTTATTAAAATACAAGTAAAATATCACTGTAGAACAGTTCAAAAAAGCCAGAAACCTGGAGCTCACTGCACTTCCTGCAGGCAGTTCAGGGTCTGAGAGTGTCCATTCCAGGCAGCTCAGACAGCCTGTTTCTTTTAGGCAGCTGGGCAGTTCTCTGCTTCTTTCTGGCTGCTTGGCTTCTCTGAGTGACTCTCAGCAGTCTACTACTCACATACTCATGAAGAGGAAGGAGCCTAGGAAACTTGGTCAGTTTCAGGGACTTCCTGAAGCTATTTTGAGTTGCTTACTTCCTGTCTTAACGAAGCTTCCTTTAAGGACGGAATGCTTCACTTGCCAGAAAGAAGCACTTTAAACATATAGTTCTATAGTTACTAAAACATGTTTAGTTCTCACATATGATAGAACTCATTTTGGTTCTTCCTCCTTCAGTACATCCTACTGACTCGATCTCTAGGCTGGGTCTTCTATCCTTTGTGTTTCCCTTGCTCCATATTGCTATTGCCCTAGCATAAAACACTGTAAAATCCTATTTAGATTGCTCTGATAGCTTCCTGACTGTTCTAATTTCGTCTTTCCCCCTCAGTTGTGATGGAAAGTTTTATTGGGCATCTTCATCTAATTTACCATCTGTGGTCTTTGATAACCTACTCTCTGGACTTTAATAATTCCACTGAAATGCCAGCTATTATCCTCACAGACCGACATTTGCGTGTGACTCAGTCTTTCTCACTGCTTTGAATACACTTTTTTTTCTGTGTTTTTAGTGCTTTAACTACAATACTACATGGAGTGTTTCTTTTTTGGATCTGTTTGGTGTTCCATAAGCCTCTTGTATCTGGATAGCCACGCTTTCCTTAGATTTAGAAATTTTTCTTCTATGATATCAATTGAAAATATTTTCTAGGTCTTTGGCATGGAATTCTTCTACTGTGCCCATAATTTGAAAGAGATTTTAAATGTCCCATTCACACTCAAATGTCATTTCTTAGCTGAATGATTCATTTTTTCCACCTTATCCTCAAGCTTTGTTATTCTATCTTCTGAAGGATAATTCTATTGGTTAGTTTTTTTTTTTTAGTGTTTTTAATTTGACTTGAGTTTTCATTTTCACTTCATAGCTTTATGGGTTTTCTTTAATGTTTCTATATCCTTATTGAAGTTTGTTTCCATTATCCTTAATCGACATTGTTATTTTATTAACCTGTTTGCTTTGTTTTCTTGGAATTCATTGGAGAGTTATTTCTTGTCTTCAAATTCATTCGGGCATTTGTGTCCTTATTTCTTTGAATGGTTTATATAATTTTAAAAATTTTGAAATTTTGTTTATGTTGTTCTCATTAGGGACTATTACTATAGTACTGATGATATTCAGACAAGATATTTTATTTTGTTTTTCACATTGCTTGCCTATTTACACTGGAATTTTAACAAATTTTAGAATATGGGACACTTCCTGAGTTTGTATGTCATGCTTGCACAGAAGCCATAGCAGTTTCTCTGTATGACTTTAATATAGGTGCTGCCATAAGATGTTCCTTCATTAGTTTATACTTTGTCTTGAGTCTTTCAGAAATGTGTTGATTTGCTTTTGTGGTGTGTGTGTGTGTGTGTGTGTGTGTAGGGTAGAAGACAACTTTAATTGAAGCAAGATGTCTTTGTTGTTTGCTACTGTATACAACAGGCTAGCTGGTCCATGAATTCTGAGAATTCTTCTGCTTTCACATCTCATCTCCCCGTGGGAGTGCAGGGGTTACAGTTGCTACTCTGACCTTTTTTTAAATTTATGTTTTTTAACATACGTTCTTCATGCTAACTCACCAGTCCTGGTCTTTGATTTTCAACAGTACCTACTGTTTTTTTTTATATCAGTCCCTAGGGTGAAGATCCACTTTATACCTGTTTTCTAGAGTCATATTCATAGATTAAATTCTGCCAAGACACTTGTAGTTGTATCACTGATGAAAGGAGAATCTCCAGTTCCAGGCCAGTATAGGCAGTGTAGGCATTGGAAACATGTGGGTTTCTTAAAAACCAAAACACTGCAACAAACCCCAAAAACTATGGCTGGAGAGATGGCTCAGAGGATAAGAGCACACCTTGTTCTTTTAGGGGACGAGGCTGTGGTGTCTAGTATCCACACGAGAGAGCTCACAGCCAGCAGTAACTGCAGCTCCATGGGACTCTAGGCCTCTGGCCTCTGAGCACCTGCACTCAGATGTATGTACCATGCTCTCTCCCCACCCTCATCAACAAGATATGTTTAAATTTGTTTCCTTATAATAGAAGGGAATAGCTAAGTTTAATTCCCTTATAACAAAAAGTACATATCAACAAGAGACTGGAAGATTGGAAATGTGATAGTTATTTACAAACAGTACAAAGCTAATTGGAATTAAAGTCCCGACTAATAAAAATAGCTATTTTAAGCCTTTTATAACACTCCAGCTAGGTGTAGTGGTTCATGCTTATAATTCTATCACTCGAAAACTAGAGGTGGAGAGCAGCCTGGGCAAGTAGGACAGATCTGATCTCAAAGTAGTGGAATATGTGTTCAGTGATGCCGTGTTTGCTTGGCATGCAAGTGGCCCTGGGTTCAGTCCCCCACACTGTAATTAAAAACAGCTAATTCAAATCTATAAGACATATATTTAATAATTCACACTAGTTAGAAATAAGGTAATAAAGTAGACATTATTCACTATTAAATAGTACATTACCGAATCAATCTTGTGTATCACATTGTATCCTTTCAATGATTTATCCCAAGTAATTCTGTTTTCAGGTTGGTAGAGGAAATTGGAGACCTTAGCTGTTGACTCTCGAATTACACCTTCAATACGATATCTATGTCATCAAAGTAAAGAAAAATTTAAGAAATTGACTTTAATTTGGAGATAGAGTGCAACTGGGATTAAAGAGCAAACCACAGTAAGGAAACTGTGAAACTGAGTATCTGCTGTCTAAAACACCCAGGACCAAAAACGCTTGTTATTTTGATTCCTTTTTAAATTTATTATATTTTCTATGTAATAGATAAATATAATTTATTAGTATTTATATTATTTTTGGGTATTTGCATATCTATAATGAGATATCTTGGGGATGAGCTCTGTCTCAGAACAAAATTCATTTGTACTTTAGCTTCTTTACATTATGTATTCTAAAGGGAACTTTATATAATAATTTAAATAATTTCATTTAATACAGTGTATTGAATGTGAATTAGCATAGTTTATTTAAATAAGCATTGCAGCCATTATTTCAATGTTTACTTTTCTAGCCTGGCCTGATGGCGCAGGCCTGTCATTTCAGCTACTTGGGAGGCTGAGCAGGCAGGAGGATCATAATGTATCATTTTTGTCTAGGAAACAAGGTGACTTCAAGATCAGACCGGGTAACTTAGTGAGACCCTATCTCAAAATGTACAAAGAGTTAGGGGATATGGCTCAGTGGTAGAGAACTTTCCCAGTGTGGGTTAGGATGCTGGATTCAAATCCACTGTAGCAGAAGGTTGCCAGCTGAAAGTACAATCAGAGTAATATGGCCACGCCCTTAACGCTTTTACTCATTTCTTTCAAAGAAGAAGAACAGATGTTTTAAGGTGAAACCTTTAAGTTTCTAAAGAATTAAAATTTATTCAGAGAGCGTGAAGAGAACGAAAATGTCATTACTAGAGAGGAGAGTAGTCACGTGTGTGGAAAATTGCTACCCTCAACTTTTGTTTTGTATTCACGGAGGCCTGGCCGAGCTACGGACCCTGGCTTTTATGGAGCTCAGAAAGTCTCGAAGTTAAGCTTCCCTCAGCCTCCCGAATGCCAAAGCTACAATTACAGGCATGTGCCACTGTATCTGGCTGGCTTCCACCATTTGCTCAGACAGGAATTCTTTAGATGACTTCCTTGTATACTTGACTTTTTCTTTAACAGCTTAGGTGTTTCCTAATTTCCTCTCTGAGGTATTCTGAAATTCCTTAATGTAAGGTTTACTTCCTCCATGTCAAAAATATTTATTTTTTATTGTTTATTTTATTTTATCTTATTTTTTGGTTTTTCGAGACAGGGTTTCTTTGCATAGCTCTGGCTGTCTGCTTTGTAGACCAGGCTGGCCTTGAACTCACAGAGATCTGCCTGTCTGTGCTTCCCAAGTGCTGGGATTAAAGATGTGCAAGACCACTGCCTGACCTTTCAATATTTTTTTTTAAGATTTATTTATCCATGTACTTTATGTATATGGGTGTTTTGTTTGCGTGTTCATATGCACACCAGGAACTGAACTCAGGACCTCTGGAAGAGCAGCCAGTGCTCTTAACCGGTGAGCCATCCCTCTAGAGGCTACTATTTGAGAGAAAGAGAGTGAGAGAGATTGAGGGGAAAGGGAGGGAGGGAGGGAGGGAGAGAGAGAGAGAGAGAGAGAGAGAGAGAGAGAGAGAAAGAGAAAGAGCACTCAGTTTTAAGCCCGGGAAAAATAACCCCAAAAAATCACCATGTAATGCAACAATGTCAGACACTAAACAGTTAAAATTTATGCACAAATTTTGTTCACACACGGCCACAGTTGTCCTTTACTTCACTAATGTCCCTCAGTAAACTCTAATGGTAGTGACAAGCTATACCTAACAATGTCCCTCAGTAAACTCTAATGATAGTGACAAGCTATACCTAACAATGTCCCTCAGTAAACTCTAATGATAGTGACAAGCTATACCTAACAACACCTAATTAGCCCTTTCATAAAGTAGTCCTTTACTGATGACTAACAGTAGCTGGTCACCAAGTGCAAACTGTTTAATTGCACTTCTGCGGATCTACTTTCTCCCCATCTGTACTGCATCTTGCTGGACAGCGAGACTTTTCATCCACGGTCCCACTGGAAAGCATGGTCAGTATGGACACACGAGAAAGCACAGGAATATGGAGAGTAGAGGGGAACACAGTGCCAAAGCTCTTTTTGGGAGACTTGGAAGTCTGTTTTACAATTATTTATGATAGTATTATTAGATGATATTGAACTGTTGTCATTACTGATTCTTTTTCTTATGATATATAGATAACAGAGTTTAAATGTTACTTTTCAAATTATCTTATTAATACTATGTTGAATGAATTTTTAGAATTTTTATAATGTGTGTGTGCCTGTATGAGTGTATGTACACCATATGTATGCAGATGCCCACGGAGGCAGAGAACATGAAATTCCTTGGAACTGAGTAAAAGGCATGTGTGAACTACCGATGTGGGTGCTCGAAACTGTGTGTTGATCCTCTGGTGTTCTTAATGACTGTGGCATCTCGCCCACAGTCATTTATTATGGTTTAGGAAATAAACCATAATAAACGCTATTCTAAATTTGGGCTTTTCATTTTGGTCACAGCAACTTTAGCCATTACTTTTGTTGTTATACCATTTTTATACTCGTTTAAATATGACTGATGTTAGTTATAAGATATATAAATAACTCGGGTGTCTTCCCCAGGGATTTAAGAAAGGATTAAATATATTGATAATAATCATCAGCATAGATGTATTGATAGTGATCATAGCATAGATGTATTGATAGCTATCATCAGCATAGATGTATTGATAGCGATCATAGCATAGATGTATTGATAGTGATCATAGCATAGATGTATTGATAGCGATCATCAGCATAGATGTATTGATAGCGATCATAGCATAGATGTATTGCTAGTGATCATCACTATAAGGTATTGATAGCGATCATCACTATAAGGTATTAATAGCAATAATCACCATAACAGTATGAAGTAACTGATAGGAGAAGAACACAGCATGTTCCCTTGGTAATGGTAAATACGCATTAATGTTAAAGCAGAAAAGGTAGACTCTAGTACATGCCTTCCCTGGATAATGTGCTCCAATTATTCCATACATGCATGGGAAAGATTTAGGTTCAGAAGGAATGATGATTAAGGTAATTACAGGCAACCTCTGAAGCTAAGTCCTGGTTTCTGAAAGTTCTCATTTCGCTGTTACAATGTAGGTGTCTTGGGGATAGTCATCTGGAGGCGGGAAATAATGGTGTTTATATTGTGGAATATGTGGGGAGTAAATTAAAATTATTTGGTGGAATGCCTACCATAACATTAGGGCATTAGAGGAATGTATAGTTGGGGACAGAAAGAGAAAGATGCACCTTCCTTCTGATGCATAAAACCAAGTGTTCAAAACTAATCACTAAAGGTTCTTTTGGGGGCAGTAAATTATTAACAAAAAGCAAAATGCTAATAAAATATATAGATTACCTCTATTTTTGTTTCATTTAGCTTCGTTTTTCAAGACAGGGTTTATCTGTGTAACAGTCCTGGGTGCCTAGAACTTATTTTGTAGACCAGGTTGGCCTTGAACTCACAGAGATCTGCCTGCCTCTGCTTCTTGAGTGATGGGATTAAAGACGTGCATAACCACCACTGGGCTAAATTACTTTAATAATGTGCTTATATTTAACTTTCTGTTTGGTAATCAATATAACTAAAGCACATATATTCACTAAATAAATATACCCTAAGTCTTTGTAACAGGCAGTGTCCTGGTATAGGGATACCACAAAAAATAAGGGTGACTTATTTCTAGGCACACTCTTATTCAAGTTCCTGTTCACACCACTTCATATTTTAATAAGACACACAGGATGAGGTAAAAAAAATAAATTCCATATAGTGCCACCTATGTAGGTTACAATAGCAGAATAATTAGTTAAAGAGGGACTGTGTACATGTAGGACATTTGGCCTAGTGGGCAGGAAGGTCGTTCTGAAGATGAGAACCAAGAACCTGCCAATCAAAGCTGACATTAGCTTTGGAGATAGATATATATATATATATATATATATATATATATATATATATATTGGTTTTTATATATATATCACCAATATATATATATATTGGTTTTTTTCGAGACAGGGTTTCTCTGTGGTTTTGGAGCCTGTCCTGGAACTAACTCTTGTAGACCAGGCTGGTCTCGAACTCACAGAGATCCGCCTGCCTCTGCCTCCCGAGTGCTGGGATTAAAGGCGTGTGCCACCACCGCAAGGGATCAAGAGGATGAAGTGACAGGAAGTGAGGGCCCGGGAGTGACTTGGAGGTCAGGACAAAATGTTTGGATCTTACTTTAGCCAGGAAATAAATCATTTAAAGGGTTTTAATAAAGGTGAGTCTCAAAATCCAAATTATATTTTAAGACCCGGCTTAAGCACTTGGTGGACAATGAGATATTCAAGAACAAGCCATTCACATACTCCACTGAGAGGTGGAGGTGGCAGCAGGGTAATCGCAAGAGCTAACAAAAGCCAACTAGCCAAGTCTCTGTGTGTTTGGATATACACAGGGCTTCGACATGGATCCAAACATGACACCAATGACCCTTCTCTCGCCCTTCTTTAGAACACCTTCTTATTGAAAACAGAACCAGTAAGCCAGCTTGTGTTTGTGACCACAGAGGAAAGCGCTGTAAGGAACCAGAATTCAGCAGCGCTGCAGCTGGCTGGGAAGCCAGAACAGGTGGACCTATCTCAGGGAAGAGGCAAAGGAGGGGCACGAATCTGTAACTGACAATCAATTCTCACCACCTTCCTCTCCTACTGCAGTCCATGGCAGACAGGGATCTGACCCAGGCACCATGGGAACACCAACTGCAGGAGACTAGAAAGTCACCAGCAAATGTGAATGGCTCAGCAATCCAGGGCCACTGCTCCAAAGAAAAACACAGAAAATTCAGCAGCTGAGTTGCTTGCTGGGAAAGAATAAAACTGACCAACTCTTAGCCAAATTGACCAAAGGAGTAATGCAATCCAAATTAATAAGATTAATCAAAGTGTCCACCTGAAAAAAAGACAGCCTTTTAAATAAATGGTGCTGGAGAAGCAGAATATTAGCCAGCAGACGGTGAAATTGGGTCTGTATCTTTCACCTTGCACAAAAATCAATTCAAATTAGATAAAGATTTTTTAAACCTTAATGGAAGGCCTGAAACTCTGAAAGCGGGAAAGGAAACATTTCAGGATGCAGGTCTAGGAAATAAACTTTAAAATAAAAGCCTGGCAGCACAGTAAGTAGCCATAGCATCGACACACCTTGAAACAGCTACCGCAACAATTAAACACCCAAACCTTCCCTATCAACAAGTGGGCCGACAAACTGAGCAGACATCTTTCCCGAGAAGAAACAACTGCAGTACGAAGGTGAGTTATGGAACAAAGCAGTGTTTGGGCACCATGCAGCCACCAGCTGCTCCCAACACTGTGAGAACAGAGCTAGTCTTCCACCAGTCCTCTGAAATCCTCCAACTCCTCCCACCCCTCCTTCCCTGCAAGGGTTATTTCTTAGGTGCAGTTCAGTAGTTCTACAAGCAGGACAATACTGCCACCTACTGTTCGAACTTTTCCTATCCCCTCCTTTTCCCCCTATTGGTTCCTTGTTCTTTTTCTGTACTCTTTATTATTGTTTCTTCTCCTGAAGTCCAGAGGCTGGCCTGGTTTATGGTATCTGGGTACATATTCCCTATGCCATTTTTCCTTTTCTGCAATCATTCCCACTCCTATGTGCGGTCCTCTCCCCAACTTCCCACCTAACAACCTAGAACCTATCTCTAGTCTCGGGATTAATGCCCACCCCCCCCCCCCTTTCTTTCTCTTTCCGTTTGTACTAAAACATTAGTATATGCAATACTACCAGGCTATCTTGACTCCTCAAATTAATCAGTATTTGGCAAGGGTTGTTTTGCTAGTCTATTTTCATAGTGAGTTAGCTACTAGCAGAAAATTCTGCAAATAGGAAAAGAGAAGGCTATCCAAACACAAGAGGCACACAGAACACCAAACAGACTAAACGAGAAAAGAAACTCCCTAAATCATTATCACTAAATTTACAAAATAAAAAAAAGTATATCAAAGCTGTGACAGAGAAAGGCCAAGTCACATACGAAGGCAGGCCATCAGAACAATCAGTCCAGACTAAGAAGAGATGGGGCTGATGTCTTTAAGACTCTAAAAGGTCTCGATTGCCAACCTAGTCTAATATACCCAGCCAAACTATCTGAGTCTATCATCGAATGACAAAAGCAGGCTAAAGGAATGGTGCTACCCACAGTAGTCTAGGTCTTCATATGAGAGTTAATCAAGGCAACCCCTGCCCCAGATATACCACAGACCAACCTGTTCTAGAAAATCCTTATTTAGAGTCTTTTCCTAAGGGATGCTATATTGTGTCAGGTTGACCTTTAATAAAATAGGTTTGACTTCCCTGATATGCCTAGGGTTGAGTACAATCCCCCTCCCCCATCCTCAGTTTATTTTTGAAAATTCTAAAAAAAAAAAAAGGAAAAAGAAAAAGAAAGAAAGAAAGGAAGGAAGGAAGGAAGTTTGTTCATTCTACTATTAAGGTCATCTGACGTGAATAAGAGAAATTCATGCCATCCTTATCTACTAATAAAAAATGGCATGCAGGAAGCTAAAGCAGGTAAAGCTGAGTTAGTGAGATCTATTCTTTAAAAACAAAAACCAGCAACGCCAACAACCTCACAAAAATCACACCGACAGCCAGAGTACAAGTATAGTTTTCAAAGAAATGTTTTCTAAAAATTTGGTCATGGTTTTCTCAATAACACAGTGATCTGAGGGAAGAGGTGTTATACCAAGAACTCTAAATGAACACCTAAAAAAAAAAAAGACATGACATTCCCTTTGAGTGCACTTGTGTTTGAAGCAGTCTGATAGCACTCTATAGAAAAACAATCTGCACTTAAGAATGAGAAAAAAATTGATGGTTTTTTTTTTCTTTTTGGGGGGGTTTGAGAGTAAAGTGAAGGATTCCAAATATCATAAAAATGCTTCTGCTGGCAAGAAATGTCAGTGCGCCTTTGCACGCCTTTTCCGTCCTAATGAATTAGGAGTTTCTGGCATCAGGGATGAATCTCAGGGCCTTGTTACGTGAGTGAAGGCCTCAACACTGACCAGCAAGGATTTGCTCTGTAACTGTGTTCATGTCAGAAAATTGTTGCACAACGCACGACTGCTCTATTTTATGAGAATCACATGACTTCATGCATCACTTCCCGGAGACCAGAAAGTAGTTTGTTCTAGTTAATGAGTGCTGTTGACTTTCAGATGTGGCAATGCCACTGAATTGAAAACTGCAAATTGGAAAATGTACTCACAGATTTCCGAGGAACTTTCTAGAGGTCTTGCTGGAAACAGTTACCTTTTTCTCAAAGGGGAATAAAATCCAGAAATAAATTAACTGTCACATACAGAAAACAAAACAAACCGAAAACAAAACAACCCAAAAACAAAACAAAAGTGAAACTATCTTTGTCTGGCTTACAAAAGAACATATTATTTTAAAATGTCTTTACAATAAACAATCATAAAAAAATAAACTCTTGAGAAATACTTTTCTCTTACTGAAGATTTAACCACTTTCCAGTCAGATATATCTTGATTGTAAGCTAAAACCTCTTCAGCAGAGTTTTGGGCAATTGCCTTAAAGTCCATCTACCTGTGAAAATTTAAAAACAAATGGTCGGTAAAATATAATCATATAAACAAGAAAAATGCTGTGGTGCAGAAATGTCTGAACTCATGGGATGAAGCTGCTCTTCTTCCCCTGTCTCTCAACTGCTCTGAAATGTCTGAACTCATGGAATGAAGCTTCTCTTCTTCCCCATCTCTCAACTGCTCTGCTCTTTTACTCTTTAATGTGATTTTTAAAACGGCATCTGTCTTTTAGCCATGCACAATAATTTCTTGATCACTTGCATCCACAAACCTTTCTTCAAATGAGAAAATATGTTAATGTGTAAAAAACCAGACTTTAGAATCAGGGACCCAGGTGAGATCTGCCTCTGTCCTCTGTGAAATATGATATATAATATTTCTAATTCCTCGTTTCCTTCTTGATGTAAAATTAATATATATATGTAACATCCTGTAGAGTCAATGCATTAAAGGAATAAATGCCCAGAGCATGGCATGGTATAGTCATTCAATGAACCATTATTTCCAAAAAGCTTCCTTTTGGGGCTGGAGAGAAGACTCAGAGGTTAAGAGCACTGGCTGCTCTTCCAGAGGTCCTGAGTTCAATTCCCAGCCACCACAACCATTTGTAATGAGATCTGGTACCCTCTTCTGGCCTGAAGGCACACATGCAGGCAGAACTCTGTATACATAATAAATAAACCTTAAAAAACAGCTTCCTTTTTTCCTTATGATGTTTTGCACTCTGCTCATCATGTGTTTGTGGTATTAACATTGGTAAAGTGAGTGGCAGGGACTATATATGATTTCTGCTTCAGGCATACACCAATCAGCTATCTTCTTGTCCGCTTACTTAGTCACCACCTCCAGGATATTCCTCAAATACAACCAAGAAACTTCCTTTCTCAAGGTCCTTGCATTTACTGTTCTCTCTCCTTGTGAAATTCATGAGAGATTATGCTTCATTGAACCCTTTGCTTAAATGTCAACTATTCAGACAAGATCATATTCAAAGCAATTCAGTTTAAACACATTTAATAAATCTCTCCTTGCTGGTAAGTACTGCAAATGACTGTTTTCATTCCACCACAGCCCCAGACTGAAATTGGGTAGTGATTAGGTCAGGAGAGCAGGGACTTAATAGATAAGATTAGTGTGTCTTTCTAAGTGACTTCAGACAGCTCATTTGTCCCCTCTGCCCTGAGGACACAGCCATGAAGTGGTAATCTGTATTCCAGAAGAGTGCTCTGACCAGAAACCAAACGTGAGGGCACTCTGCTCAGACAGAAAGCCTCCACGACTGTGAGAAACCAACATTTGCTATTCATAAAGTACTTGGTCTACGGTAATAGGTAGTAGTTTCCTTAAAGGGACTAAGTACAGCAGCAAGCACAGCCAAAACAATTATGGCACTGTGTCTGCCGTGACCATCTTTAGGCGGCTGGGATGTCATTGGTCCTTTAACCCATCAATCAGTTTTCAGTTGGGGAAGCCTGAGAGATGTTACCGAGAACACGGCAACATATCTGGATTGAAAGCCCAACTCTGACACAGAAGCTGGTAAAATATTTAGGCTCTGAATTTCAACTTCCTACATTTATAGAAAGGAGATACTAATACTCATGAGGCCCATAGGGATAAGAGAGTTATTTTATGCAGACTTGTTTGAAGCAGTGAGGAGTTTTGCTCACGGTGCTCAAATCAGGTTAGTTTCTTACAATGAATAGTTCCAGCCATCACTAAAACGTCCCTCAGATAACTGTCTCTCCAGCACATTGCTACACCTTCACACGCAAGTATCACAACATCTGCAAGATCCTTAGCTCTTGTCTAACACTTTGGGCTGGGTCACAGATCTGTGTTCTATTGCTTAGTTTCCTAGAAAGGCAGAATCACTAGGAGATATTTTTTTTTATATTAGAAAAACCATTTTATACTCTTGGTTTCCTTACCTTTCTGAACAATTCTAGTCCAGAACTTTAGTGCCCATTGAAATTATTCTCCAAGTCTTGGTGGAGAGCTCCATATTTGTTAGCCTGCAAGGGGATAAGGAGGAGGTAGAATTATTTTGATTCACGACTTAGGTCAACATATTTTATAAACTCTTCTGCATCTCCATAGAGTCCTTCATTAGCTCTTTATATCTTGATTAAAAACACAGTCCTCAGTGGAAGTGATAGTTCTTCCTTCTCTATCACTGCGAGCAAACACGCTGGCCAAGGTTACTTATAAGAGAAAGCGTTTAGCTTGGAGTTCATGGTCTCAGAGGGTCCGAGTACATCACGACAGAGCAAAGGCATGGTAGCGAGAACAGCTGAGAGCTCACATCTTTATTGTCAAGTGGGAGGCAGACACACACACACATGCTGAAAATGGCACAAGCCTTTTGAAGTCTCAAAATCCACTCCCCAGGGACACACCTCTTCCACCAAGGCCACACCTCCTAATATTTCCCAAATAGTTTACCAACTGGAGACCAAGAATTCAAACAGCTGAGCATATGGGCCATTCTAATCAAACCACTATCAAGTTGTTTGAAAAGCAATCTTTTTCTTTCCCCCTTCAGTGTGAAGATTGAACCTATCACCTTAAGAAAGTGTTCTGCCACCCAGCTTCATCCTGCAGGGGGAGCTCCTTCAGCCAATAGCCTTTAAGATACCAGCCCACTTGGGCGTGTTCTCCTGTACTACAAATGCAGATAAAAAGTTTGTGTAGTCACTTGCTGTCTCTTTCTGCTGCTGGATTCGGTTCCTGTCTCTGCTAGAGCGAGTGTTGATCTGTGAGTCTACCCCTAAATAAAGAACCCCTTATTATGGAGTGTGGGACTACTTTATTGTGTTCTTCTACAACATCCCAAAGACGAGAAACTCAAAGCAATAGCTAAAAAGAACTTTTGAAAAGGACAGGTTAAAAAGATACCTAGATGAAATTTAGGTTTTTAAAGAATCTAGTTTTACTAAGGCCATGCAAAAACATCGTTTGGCTGGTCTCAATATGGGCTTTCCTAGCATATAAAACACAGGTTTTTACTTCTCAGCGACTTATGTAATACTGGTCTAGACATTTCACAATTATTGGCATTTATCACTAGCTTTACGTTTTTCCATAGGCGGTATCATTATTTTAAAACCATTGCACATTTCCACAATAGATGTGTGTTTAATGGATCATTGAACTGTATTTTATGGCGTCTGAAAATTTCATTTGCTAAGAGAAACTGGAAGGTAAAGTTTAGAAGGTCAGAGATGGTACAAAGGTGCAGGACAAATTGTAGTTCTATTACCTGACGATGTAACACTGAATGAACTAGACCCTATTAGGATAGAAGTCAAGGAAGGATGTCTTCAGCCATAGGGTCAGTGGAAAACCACCTTAGACTAGTGTTGAGATAGCATCTTTTTTTTTTTGATAGAGCGAGCACTCGGTTGCAACTTGATTCTTCCCACCTCATATCCTGTCCCGGCCTGACAGACAGGTTCACACAAGTTAGTGATCTTTACGTTTGTATAGTTTCCCTCTTTCTGTAATGCCCGACCGGGTCCCTAATCCATTTTGGGTCACTGCCATTCTTCCTGAGAACCAAGTTCCCCAAAGAGTTTGTTAAATCCCATCACAGGTCCATCTGACTTCTTCCCTCAGTCCTAAAATCTAGATGGAAGCCCAGGTGGGTCAGAGTCCTGGAGCCCTGAGGAAGGACGAAGGACTTGGTGGGCTGACTCTGTACCTATGTTGGGAACGGGATTCTCTGAAGTCGCACAAAGCTCACTGGAAAGACTTGGGCTTTGAGGATCTGGGTCTCAGAAAAGGGACCCGCAACTTAGGGCACCTCCACATCTCCTACAGCCCAGATCCCTCCCACAGCCCAGGAAGAAGAGCAGTGGCCGGGATGTGGAGGGCATGGAACCTGGATGTTGTCTAGAACCTTCCCATCCAACTCGGAGAGAAGACAAAGGAGAAACCTCACCTCCCCGGAGGGACGCCGACCTAACGCCCCTCAACGCCCTTTGACCTCTGAACTCTCCGCGGGGCTCTCGAGCCCCCTCCCCCCCCCCCCCCCCCCCGCAACCTCCGCGAGCCCAGCGCGACGCAAGCGCCCGGCGGGCGGGCCGGCGCCATGTTGGGTCGGTTTGAACGCGAGCGCGGGCGTCGAGCCGGCCTGTGGCCGCCGAGGGGGATAGCGGTCCCGAGGAGGGCGGTGTCCGGCTCAGGGATGCTTTGTCGCGGCGGCGTCCGGTTTGCAGAAGGCCTGGACTTTCGACCGAGGGTCTGGAAGTCGCTTTAAAGAGCATCCTGGTGAGCTGACGCATCCTTCCTCGGCGGGACGGAGGGAAGCGGAGGAGCCGCCCCAGGAAGGGGCATCCCGGGGTGCGGGGTTCGCGGGTTCGGGGCGGGGGCCCGAGGTTTCGGCGGCTGCAGGGCGGCTGCAGGGCGAATGTGCTCACGGATGTGTCACCGCCATCCACAGGGTCGCTGCTGCCTTCCCGCCAACCCCGATGGGCCGTGGCCCGATCCATGGACGCTCCCTCTGCAGACTGAGCCGGCCTCTGCGTCCCGGCATCAGAAGTCTCGGCCGCTCCGGTCTTCCGGGCGTTGTTCTTAACTCCCAGAGCGATCGTCTCCCTTGCACCCTTTGGCACAGCCGTCTGTGTTTTGAATCAAGGGAGTTGACATTTCTTGCCCTGAGTTGGCCTCGTTCGACACGATGGGTTTCGTTTTGGAGAATTCAAACCGAAGCGCTCGCGAAGGGGAATGGTAAGATAGATGGGGTTTACTTAAAATATGCATGCTTCGAAACAGTCCCGTGGTTAAAATGGGAGGGACAGTATCATAAACAGTATGTTGATAATTGTTGGAAGCTCAGGGATTTCTTAAACTATTCTACCTTTTTCACAGACTTGAAAACTTTCCATAAGAATTGCTGGTTTCCTTTTGTGTCATGTAAATGGAGTTAACCCTTGGCCACTCAGGGAGAACTAAATCCAACAGCTTTTCCCTGTGAAGAGTTTGCTTGTTTTTTA